GTGGTTAAAAATTAATTTGTGGGATTATCTTTATTGGTTGGCTTTAAATGTTTTTCTAAACTAATAGCTCTAATGAAGGCTGAAATCATTATAGCCGTGGTTTGTGTTTTATAGCTTAAACTTCTTAACTTGCTCTTTTGAGATGAAATGTTAAGTATCTTTTGGAAGCCAGAGGTGTAAAAACTATGCAATTTTGATTAAAATTGTTTTGGCATAAATATGTGATTTAAAAATTATTTATACATAATAATATTGACTGCACGGTTGGCGAGGTGATTGGGCAACTGGCTGTCGTGCAACTTGCATGGAACAACTCTTTGTGTGATCCACAGATTGTTGTTCCGGGACTGGGTGTCATGTATATGTGAACTTGTATATTTGTAAACGCACCCACGACACGTGTCCCTTCGTCCAGCATACTCACCATGGAATCCTGATATTTCATGAATGTCAAAAAACTGTTCTGAAATAGTGCTAAATAGTGCCCAAAGGAAAAAAATAGTGCTCTTGTACTTGCGAAGTTATAGCCATAGTTCGATGAGTATGCTGGACGAAGGTTTCGCCCAGCATACTCACCTCCGTCCGGAGAATCTGTATACGCTTCAAACATAATTCATACTTCAAAAAATAGTTCCCAAATAGTGCCAAACGGTGCCCAAAAAGAAAAAACAGTGCTCGAATAACTTCGGAGTTATAGGCTTCGTTCAGTGAGTATGCTGGGCGTAGGTTCTACGCCCAGCATACTCACCTCAGTGCGCGAATATCGAACGAGCTATAGGTACAATTTACGTCTCAAAAAATTGTGCTTGAAATAGTGCCCAATATCAGTCCAATTTTTGCTTGACTTTTGACTTAGAAAACCATTAAATTTTAATGTAAACTTCTACATACTAACGTAAAATGGGGTACAGTCGTCGACACATGTTTTTGGACAAAAATATTAAACTTTCTAATTGTAGACTTCATGTTATTGGAAATAATTATGGTATTTTCTCACATGTCAAAAACTTTCGATTAAATGCATTATTATATATTTTATAAATAATAATAAATGAATGAAACTTTAAGCGTAAATGAAGTCTATTACTTCATTGCATTGTGTGTTTGTCTGAATAAAAACAGTCATTTGCAGCCAATAAATAAAAGCGTCGCGGGCGCCGCGCGTCGCTTTGTGACACAAAATGGACCCTTATCACCTTCAAAATACAGATCAGTCTTGTCTAATAATCGTAAGATGTTAGGGCAGCGCCATCTAGTATTTAAACATAAACATATTCATTTGCGTCGCGGGCGCCGCGCGTCGTAAGCCCCATACCTATTGACCGTACGTGCATCCATTACTGCCACACTATATTGAACTTTATCACATGAGGAATACAGGTCAATTCCGTAAACGTTGTGGTACCGTCCTTGATCCGGAAAATGATTATTTTGAATAATTTTGTCAGTTGTAATGTAAGCATTAATAACAGCAACTTTATTTTTCATGCATGATTTACTTCATTTGATATCTTAATCCTTCAAGCGCCGTGATCTAGACAAAATATATAAAATCATTGTTCCTAGCTACCGGGGTCCCATGCGACGCGCGAAGGCTTAATCATATTATTATAAAGTATTATTAAAATAATGTGTAATTAATAATATTGCGATTCTAAAGTAAATACTCCCTTACATAGACAATTAATAATTTACACAAGACAAAAATTGTTAGAAAGAAAGTTAATAATATTGTATTCGACTGTACTCAATGTAATGTATGTAGAAGTTTACAATCAAATTTAATGGTTTTCTAGGTCAAAAGTCAAGCAAAAATTGGACTGATATTGGGCACTATTTCGAGCACAATTTTTTGAGACGTAAATTGTACCTATAGCTCGTTCGATATTCGCGCACTGAGGTGAGTATGCTGGGCGTAGAACCTACGCCCAGCATACTCACTGAACGAAGCCTATAACTCCGAAGTTATTCGAGCACTGTTTTTTCTTTTTGGGCACCGTTTGGCACTATTTGGGAACTATTTTTTGAAGTATGAATTATGTTTGAAGCGTATACAGATTCTCCGGACGGAGGTGAGTATGCTGGGCGAAACCTTCGTCCAGCATACTCATCGAACTAAGGCTATAACTTCGCAAGTACAAGAGCACTATTTTTTTCCTTTGGGCACTATTTAGCACTATTTCAGAACAGTTTTTTGACAATTATGAAATATCAGGATTCCATGGTGAGTATGCTGGACGAAGGGACACCACGACACAGGAGAAAATCCATACTAATAGGGAAAAGTAAAAAAAATAAGCCACTAACTTAACCTATGCGTTATTCCAAACCACACCACGTATGTGTTATACGAGTCTCATAATTTACTACTGTTCCAAACTGCATGCCGATTTTTGCAACTGTTTTGATGTCATTGGGTAGCAAATATACCCATAAAGTTTCGCATTGTTCACAAATAGTTCTATTTCTTCCGAGTAAAGTATCATTGGGTATTGCATAACGTATTTACGGTCAACTATTAATTTTAATTTTACACACTTATTTCTACATCTCCGAAGTAAAACAGTATCAATATACTTTAGGCAAAATGTTAACAATTAAATATTGCAATATTTCTGCAAACCATAAACTTAAACGTGATAACACTGTCGTATCAATATACATAGTATAAAACAAAGTCGCTTTCGCTGTATGTCCGTATGTATGCTTAGATCTTTAAAACTACGCAACGGATTTTGATGCGGTTTTTTTAATAGATAGAGTGATTCTTAAGGAAGGTTTATATGTATAATACATGGATATTGCACCCGTGCGAAGCCGGGGCGGGTCGCTAGTAATTACTAATACGCAGAATAAGTATTATTACCAATTACATGTGTTATTGTGGCTATGTCTGACAGTATTTTGTCTTTGTCAGTCCCTTAGGGAATATTGTTTTTTATATTTGATGGGCCGACGTTTGCCTACTACTTAATGGTACGCGATGGTAGTTATAGCACTTAAACATTATAATAGGTAGTTCAATGATTTTATACAAAAGATAATGTATGGCGTTTAATTATTGTTTGGTATTAGGCATGTAGAGGTATATCAAAGGTGACTGTACTTAACCGTATATTCGTTTCTGTATTTGCTCGGCTAGTGCTCAAAGTCATTTGTCTAGAGAGATTTTAATAGTAAAATATTTGAATGCTAAAGAAAACTAAAATGGTATTCAAATGTGATCAGTTGACCAACTCATATTATTTTTAGAATTATCGTAATTAAAATTTCATTAATACATGTTTGTGTGAGTACACCACACCCAAAATAATATTCACACTAAAACAAGCCTATAGCTTGTTTTTTGACCAAAAAGTATTATTATGACTAAATTAGCATTCTTCTCGAAATCTTTCGAAGCCTGAGTTCGTTCAATGTTTTTTTTATATATAATCCATCCAGTTACTACTAGATTCTGGCGGTTAAATTAAAAATGTATATTGGAAAATTTGTGAAGGCAAGGTAGGCTATTAATGTCTATAAATAGGTAGGTAAAAAAAAAACAACCAAGTTTGCTGATAAAGAATTTTAAACGGTCCGTTCAAAAATATGTATATGTTACTAAAATAATTTGCATACTAGAATATATGTTCTAGAAATTCTTCCCAATATGTCATAGTAAACAACATGATATTTCCTTGTTAATCGAAAAAATAAAAGGTGAACTAAAATAAAAATATAAACCGTGGTGCTAGTTATTTTAGCAAGGGGTAGATATAAACGAAATTACATGCACTTTTTGCTAAAAAAATTAATTCATACAGTTATAGAAAGACAGAACATCTATTGTAAAATAATGTAAAACTTTATGTTATTTTACTAACTAGCAACCCGCTATGAATATAAACTATACTTAAGAATCATGTCGCGGAGAACCTAACGGGTAACCGGGGTTCCGGCTCGACGTGCAGGGGAAGGAACGGGGTGGTTTTTAGCAAGTAAGAGTCTGACACTCCCTCCCGCCTCATCCAGGCGGGAGCAGACATTCGACGATTTTCCCCCCTTAAAAAAAAAGGTCACTTTTTCCATGATTGGTTCCAACAGCAGGCTTTAAAAATATTAGTCCCGACGATAAACAAGTGGTTCACTTATTTTTATCTTGCAACAATCGAACAACAACGATAAAATACGAAACACACGAAAAACCTTTATTTCTAAGACAAAAACAAAAAAAAATTGAGAATAAAATTGGGCTTTAAAAAATTACCTATATAATTCAAGCTAGGTATATATATATGTACTGTCAACAACCGCGAGGGCACCGGTGACCGCGACCTATCAATACATAGTATAAAACAAAGTCGCTTTCGCTGTATGTCCGTATGTATGCTTAGATCTTTAAAACTACGCAACGGATTTTGATGCGGTTTTTTTTAATAGATAGAGTGATTCTTAAGGAAGGTTTGTATGTATAATACATGCATATTGCACCCGTGCGAAGCCGGGGCGGGTCGCTAGTTGTTCTATAATTGTGTCTATAATAACGGTACCCAAGGGTTAAATTAGTATTTTTTGATTACATTTGTTTACTGTATTTTTGTTATATTAATAGTACACACAAACATACGCACTATTTATAAGCTCGTGATTATATAAATGATCATTAAGTCGTCAAACAACTGTCCCAGTGTCATCTCAAGGATTATAAAATTTTCGCAATACTCTAATTTACTTTTAATGCGAAATTTTGTTTGAATGTTAGTCTCTAATCATTCTCTGCCTGAGAAGTGAGTTCGTCACACGGTTTTTTAGTTGTAGTTTTTTTTAGGTTACACATTGTTTTAGTTTGAGTGTTGTGTTTTTTTTTTAATTTTTTTTTTAACCAGAAGGTGCGTTAGTGAACTGGATACGTTTTTTTTTATTTTAATCATTAATTTCAATATAAGATTAAGAGAAGTGATAAAGCTTTTAATTGTTTTTTTTATTGAAGTTTTAATTTATATTTTTTTTCTTTTCAGGACCAAACACAAGCATGTCGTTCGTCGACTCTTACAGAAAATTCATGGAGCGCAATAGCGGTAAGTTTATTGTATTATAGTGATCATTAAATGAAACAAATAAGCATTCAGGTTTTTAATACTGACTTCTATGTAGACAGAATGTGTGCTTACCTAGATTAGATATAAGGGATTAATTTTTATTAAAATTATTATCACTACATGTAAAATATCCTAAGTATGTATCCGTCGTATATACAACTTAAAATTAACTACAACTAAACCAGTGGATAAAAAGGAATAAAAACACAAACACTTATCCTTAATTAAGCGTCAATATACTACTAATTCGCATTTAATATATAATATAAGTTACCCTATATAGTATAACTAGCGACCCGACCCGGCTTCGCACGGGTGCAATATGCATGTATTATACATACAAACCTTCCTTAAGAATCACTCTATCTATTAAAAAAAACCGCATCAAAATCCGTTGCGTAGTTTTAAAGATCTAAGCATACATACGGACATACAGCGAAAGCGACTTTGTTTTATACTATGTATTGATTACACAGATGTTAAAATTGGAACACCCCTTTTACGCAAGGCACATCATTGGTCATAAGTTACACCGAATATATTATAATTCCACATTAACGAACATTTAAGTTATGAGGAACATAAAAATTCAATAGTAGTAGAAATTAAACCTCTTTTCAAGGTTTTTGGGTCAAGGCCGAAAAACATTATTTATGATATATAAATATACCTTTAATCTTAAATACTTGTATTAATTACATATTATAAATATTATTAATATTATGAGGTCAAAGTTGAGTATTTTTAGACGCTAGTAAAACGTAATAGTATGAAGAAATCGTGAATTTAATATTAAAAAGATGAATCGAGAACGATTTTTTTCTCTATGATGGTCTTTTACGAAGTAAGGTACTTAAACTGTTGTACCGATGTTGGTGGTGAATTTTGGTAGAAGAATAGGTGTTTAGGAAACAGTGAGTATAGTTCCCTAAGATCAGAGACGATGATGATCAGGCGAGGTGTTCGTGCCTGGCGGGCTTTCTGCCCAACAGCAATTGGGTACTTTCCTTAATCAAAAATAAATTATTTCGACTATTTAATACAATAAAATTTTAAAAAATAATCACACTATCATTAATTGATTTTATGACCAACTTAATTTTAGTACTTTCCAGCAAATTTTTAAGTAATAACTATGCTGTTTTACGTTAAAAAAACGTGACGTCACAAAACACAATCTCGTACAAAATTCTATAGAAAACTGTCGTTTTGACAGTTCAAAAAAAGTATTGCATTTGACTAATCGCCAAGTACCCAATTGTTTTGTTTTCTATCGTTATTTCGTATGTAAACCTCAAAAGTTGGTACGCGATGTAGGATTTTTGTGACGTCATCCGTTCAATTGTTTTTAATCGATAGTCTATATGCATGTCGCGGAGAACCTAACGGGTAACCGGGGCTCCGGCTCGAAGTGCAGGAGAAGGAACGGGGTGGTTTTTAGTCAGTAAGAGTCTGACACTCCCTCCCGCCTCACCCAAGTGGGAGCAGTCATTCGATGATTTTCCCACCTTAAACAAAAAAAATCTATATGCATGAGCTGTCATTTGATATGTACTTATTATGTGTTAAGTACCACAAATGTTTGGGAAGTATTATGACGTTCGACCAACGTCATAATCAGCCCGTTTCTCTTCTTTGCTGGATATAACTTAGCTTAATATTTAGGTACTTCTTCGCATCCATACACTAATTCATATTTATTACAAAGTTTCACTTTGAATAGATAAAGTTTATCTATTAAAAGCGATTGATTCCATTTCTGTAATTACCAGCCACAGTGTTGTGATACTATTTTTGTATTCAAAAATCTATTTATTCAGTAGAGTATTACAAATCAATATACTATAAAAAATCCTATTACAGTAATTTCTCAAAAAAGTTCAAATTCACAATTTTGACATTATAATGTAATATGGCAATAAAAATTAACTGTTATTCGTTTTCGTAATCGAATTTGTTACAAGTTTTAATAAATGAATTGCAACATCTTCTTCAGATTACAGATATTAAAATGAATGTTGTAATTTTTAGCGGAAATTACTTCAGCTTATTAAGCCTCTTCCTACACGGAGAAGATTTGAGCATTAATCACCACAAATTCAAACTTATAATTAGAAACTAGAAGTACAGCGGTCCTCACGTTTTCCTTCACCGTTTGTCAATGGAGTCTGAATCATCTTAAAAAGAATACATGGTTTGGAAAAAAATACATTGGTAGGTGTGTTGTTTAATAATGTTTCGCATATGAGCTTATAAAAGGTCTAGTTATCAACCTAACATTTCAAGGCCACCTAATAGTGAGTTATTAGAATAAAATTATGATTTTAAAATAATTGCTCCACCGAAACTCGGGTTTTTTGAAAATTATTTGAATAATGTAACCTCTGTTTGTAAACTTGACATTGATATGTTTTAGAATGTTACAAGATCATTGCATATAATGATGAGATGTTTAAGGAAAATAGAGCCAGATAATGATTCTACTTACAGAAAAAAATGCATACATTATTTTGGGTTTTTCTAATAAGACAAAGTACCTACACGGGTTAACGAGGTGTATCCAATCGTATCTATCAATAATTTAGTATTAATAATTAAGATATCTGATTTAGACGTGCAACTAAAATAACTTAAGCATGTTTTCAAATGTACCTATTTATAATCAAAATATAACCAAGAAATTGTTAGAAAATGTATATTATCGCTCCTACTATAGAGTATCTATCTACATATATCCTTATCAACTTTTAGGGAACAGAGAGTATAGTTCCCTATGATCGGGAAAGGAGGATCCTCCGACCAGGCGAGTTGATCGTGCCTGGCGGGCTTTCTGCCCAACAGTTGTACGTTGGGATTTTCTATCCGTAGGTATAAATTCCTAATGACCTCAAGGATGACGGCGGCACAGTGGTCACGAGCCGCCGTGCAGTGCACAGAGAGGCTCTAAGAGAAACATAGGTCTCCATAGGGAGGTGCCGTAACAGGCGTTGCACTGTGGGGGCTCCGGAGTTGGTCTACTAAGAGGACCCGGTGCCTCCTTCAAGTGCGGATGGTGGCCACCGGGGAGGTTTTAGTGAAGTAAAAATCCCACACTCCCTAGTCTTTTCCCCAAAAAGCTAGGCGCCTTTGGAAGGTACCCCCCGTCAAAAAAAGGTATTATTTCGCATGTGCGATGTAGGATTTTTGTGGACATTGAATAATGTTATAACATAGTAATATACAAAATTGTGGTCGTTGTTTAAAACGCTTCTCATGCACAAGGGGACGGTTTTGAAACCTACCAACGGCAAGTACCGATATGACTTTTTCTGAGTTATAATGTACTTTGTGTGATTATTATGATACCACTGACAAATGGTTAAGGAAAGCATGAGGAAACCTGGGCTTATAATTTCTAATTATAAGTTTTAAATCGCCAACTCGTATTGAGCAAGCGTAGTGATTGATGTTCAAACCTCCTCCGTGTAATCAGGGGCTTTGCGCAGCAGTGGACACTTCACCTGCTGTTGCTGATGATGATGAGTGTAACACCTCATAAAATCATGATAAAGTGAAAAACTGCTCATAGCTCAGTAGCTATGTAATAAAACTTGTAAAAACGTTAAAATCCAAGATCCTTGTTACCACTTTGTAAACAAATTGACATTTTCTTGTAGATTTTTCGCACATTCTGTATCTACGCGGATCTGTAGGGATTCTATTATTGTAATCAACGTTTACTTACCGTGGACTCCAAGATGTTTGAACATTAACCATTGTTAGTTTAGTTTACTATAGAAATATTTGTTTACGCTCGAATTTGAAGTAAGCTGTTGGTATAATCAGTGACAAACGTCTTAGTTCACTTCGTAGGACGATTTTTTTTACTATTTTTAGCAGAGTTTAAAAATACATAGAGGCTTTTAAAATATAAGAAAATTAAATGCAAGGCACCAAAAATAGGAAAATAGAGCTTAGTTTAAATTAAGCACTAAAATAAATGGAATGATGTGCCTGTGCTTACGGAATGATAAACTTTTTCTGTTTTAGTTTCAATTCTTTAAATATGAAAATGATTTTTTAATTTCTGAGAACTGATTTTACTACCTACTTAGTGAAATTTTCCTTGGTCGAACTAAAATGTATTTATTTGTCAACTACAGACTAGTTCAAGTACCCAAACCAAAATACTAAGAGGAAAAAATATGATTAGGTATATTTCGAAGGTAGCAAACAAAAATTCACCATAGCTTACAAAATCTAAACAGAGTTATAACAGGTACCATTGCAAAAACATATAATACATGTTCACATTATCAAAACATTTTCACAACACAATACATCATTTCGTAGGCGATTTCTAAACGTTAACAAAAAAATAATTCACAAAACTTAAGTACGCAACTGTACGTGCGTGACAAAGTCATTATTATTTCTTCACGTAGCCAAGTATGTAGGTACAGTTTGTATTTACCTTTATATTCTACAAACACAGAATATTACTAAAATAAATATAAATAAATTATGATCTCGGAACATCTACGTCTTTTCTTTAATGTTGCTTGTATGAATAGTCTTTGGGTTCAAGTTTATTTTTTATTTATATTTATTGGTTATGTTATGAGTCCCATGTTATAGGGGGTGAGCCAATTGGGATATACCGAGCACACTTCCTACTTCACTTTTAATTTTTTTTAAAACGGGAAATTTTTTGCCCGACCAGGAAATCGAACCCGAGACCCCTTGCTCGGCAGTCGCCCTTGCGACCACTCGGCCAATGAGGCAATCTCTTTTCTTGTTATATTGATGGACAGACAGGGCACATGTCGAGTCCACATACTAAGTTATGACAGATAGACAGTACGCTCTGTAACAGCTGTTGACCTTATATAGTACAATAGTGTTGGGGCCATCACTTTCTAGTTTAGTGATGTTCCTACATGTAATACTTCTCTTATTTATTACCACAAACAGTAATAATCACAAAGGCAGTCACCTCA